AGGGTGAAGCCATGGCTTGTCTTGGATGTGAGGAGAGGCTGGGCAAGTGGCAGGAGGGCAAAGCCACCTCTCCCAGAGCCTTCTGCTGCCTGTCCAGAGCACAGCCTGGCCCAGCATGCCCCACACATATTCAGGGGCACATGCCTACTCCCATGCCCTCCTGGACTGGTGGGGTATGGTGGCATGCAGTGGTGGGAGGCACCCTTCCCAAGTCCTGCACCCAGGGCTGTCTCTGGGGGGGTGTGAATCCAGGTGACCACCCGAGGCCCTGCACTTTGGAGGCCCCACAGACAGTCCTGTACAGGCCCTGCTGTGGCCACCATGCACCACTGCTGCCAGCTCCGACCACTCACCACCCCTGCCCCCCAGATTCTGCACAGGCTGACATGGGCCCAACACACCCCTAGGGATGGCTCTGCCTGCGCCCTAGCTAGGCAGCTTGTCCGAGCCCCAATCCCTCCCTTGCTGTGGGGGCGTTGATCAGCCCCGCACCCACGCTCCTTCCCTTCCACCCACCTCAACAGACTTACCAGGTTGAGGCAGCTGTGTCCAACGTCCTCGAAGACTGCTGTCTGTTTAGTCTATGGCCCAATCTCTGAATTGGTGCCAAATCTTTGAATCCGATTTGGCCAAATTGAATCAGGACAGTGATTCGAATCACCAAGTCAAATCACTGTCCCTCCAAATCAGCCGAATCCAAAGCGAATACTTGCCGCTTCGCACAGGCCTACCACCCAGTATTTATGATTTATCTTCAGATTTTCACAAATAAATTAATTGGTAATAGAGGAATGCTTGCAGAGAAGATACAACAAAAGAAGTTAAGAGTCTGTGCAAATGTTTAAACATTATTCACGTGTTTTAGTTCCCTGGATAATTTTTGTGATCTGATTATACAAACAAGTTAAAATTGGCATAGAAAATTATGTGATTTAAAATGGAAAGACAAATCCTGAAGAATGCTCAAAGATAAGGTGAAAATATTCTTTTTATTCAGAGAAAGAGAGACGTTGAAGGACAGAATGTATAATTTGAATAAATCTATAGCTCAAAAGAGCTCCATTCATTTAATTAAACTGATTAAATTACATTAATTTGACTAACTGGGATTTTTTCCAATACAAATATTTTAGATTGTAGTAAATTATGTCAACTTTGAATTTTTGGATTACATTATTTTCATGTATTTACTTGCTTGGAAACAAGTAAACATTAATACCTATGAAACCACTGCTTGATCCTGCAAGCCAGTCACTGAACCCAGAAAAATAATTTATAGTATATGAAACCTGAACTGGACAGTTAACTGGTTCAGAAAGGGCTTCATCAATTTTTTAAGGAGCTCTTAGGATTCTGTGTCACTTCTGTGGAGTCTTTAAATGAAAGTTTACGTGCTTTTTGAAACCAAAATTAAAGCAATTTATTTTCAACAGAACAAAACAAATTGGATTGATGATAAGTGAGCTTCAAGAGCCAACATGTTCAGAGATGTCAGATAAGATATACAAAAGCCCATATGAATGGCAAATTGAAATTTATACGTGCAAGACAGGGCATAAAATTATACATTTAAACAGCCTATTTGCATTTGCAAAGATGATTCATAAGTGCAAATACAAGTTTTTATGGGCATGTTTATCTTTGAAAATATCTATTGCTGAAGCACTGATATATTTTTTCTGGGGGAGAACTAAAAGCATTCAACTGATTTTTACATGCAAAGATTACTGCATGTATATAGCTCTTTTGCTGTAATAGATATCTTAGATATGTTCATGATATTATATATCTTTAAAAAATGCCAAATTATCCTTTCAATATGGCTTAAGGAGCAAGAGAAGAGACAATAGCCATTTCTGTAACACAGAAAAGTCAGGATCTCCTGCTCAGCAAATGAAGAAATCAGTATCAGTCATCTGTTCTACTTCAACAGGGAGCTCCTTAGTACAAAAAGTGGCAAAGGTTGGCACGTGTTAAGTGCATATAACCTATTTGAAAATGTAAGTTGCCTTCTTTTGCTTTTGAAAACCAGAGATGATTTCTTTCCTTTCAATTACATATTTCTGGGTTCTTGTATCCCATACAAAAATGGAGATAATCTACCCTTCCACAAGATGGAAATAGGAGTGAGAGCTGCCACATCATTGCCTTGGTGAGGGTCTGGTTGCCCTTCTTCCATTGCAACTTTAGTAAAAAAGTCAGTCAAAAATCAGCAGTTAAAACTAATTATAATATCCAGTAGTAAAGGTCTAAAACAAAATCTTTTTTTTAATTGGCAGAATCTAATTGGTAATTCTGGACTGGCAGATATGGATATCGAAGAACTAAATTAAATAGAAAAATATCCTTATCCTATATGAACTTCAACAAGCAAGATTTCAAAATGGTACCAGAAAAATAAACACACAGAAACAATCAAGGCTATTGACAAATGGCAGACTTCAAAACCTTTCTCCAAACTTCAGAAACCACAAGCATGGCTCAGCATTAACATGGAAGTCATCTGGACATTAGTGCACAAACCAACCAAATTTCCTAACAAAGCAACCAGACACACCACTCCCTTTTCAAGATGCATGAGGATGTGGCAAGCTCAAAACAATAAGACCTTGTGCTAGAAATGATCATTCAGATTGTGAAAGATGAAGAATTTATAGGCTGTGGACAGAAATTACACATAAGCCAGTATAAGTGATCAGAAACCATTTCAAACTGTAACACAACAGAGGTTCAGTGCACATAAACTGCTTTCAAAAATAAACCTGAATGAATGTAGTATCAAACTTAACAGATTTATATTAAATCAGTTTATTGAACTTCTGCCCCAGATCCCCTCCAGATTCAAGTTAACTCACAGTTCCCTAACATCCCAGGATGCTTTGCACCTCCCCCGCAATCCGCCCCCACTCCTCTTTGCAGGGTGGGTGAGCTAGCCTTGACTCAAGCTGCCCGCTCCATCCAAGCAGGGAGGCGTTCTCTAGCACCCCCCAACTTCTGGCCTGGGCCACTGCAAGCACATGGCTGCATTTCCAGAATCAAAAGCAAATGTCTGTTTACTTGCTTATTGGTTCAATCTAGGCAGCTTAGACTAACTTGCAAAGATTGAATTGATTCAGCCTCGGGCTTTTTGACTGTCTGTACTTAGTAGGCCTGTGTGAATAGGGAAGTAGTCGATTCAGATTCGGATGATTCAGAGGATAGCGTTTCGATTCGGAGATTTGGATCACTGTCCTGAATTGATTTGGCCGAATCAGCTTCGGAAGATTCGGTGCTGACACGTGGAGCCGCCCCAGCCTCAGACAGTGCAGCTGCCATGCAGGTGCCAGGCAGAAGAGCGATCCCAGCTACCCCACACTGCCCTGCACTGTGTGGGGGCACTCTGCCATGAGCCCTCAGAGGCTCCAATTGCTGCTGCCAGCGCCAGTGAGTGCAGGTCTTTTTTTTTTTTTTAAGTTTTATTTTTAATTGCCGGGAAGCTGGGGCCAGCGGAAGGAGGGGGGAGATCAGGGAGTGGGGGCTGTAGGAGGGGGACCCACATGGCCCCAGAGCCCCCATAGCCGCTGCTACATCTGGTAAGTGTGGGGCTTTTTTTTTTTTCCAGTGCCAGAACGCTGGGCTGGGCGGGGGATGGTACTGGCCAGGGCAGCCATGGGGGCTTCTCCCGTGGCTCCTTCGGCTGTGCCTGCCTCTGCCCTGGTGGGGGGAGCCACAGGGGCTATGCCCTGCTGCCGCTTGCCCAGTTGATGCGGAAGGGGGGAGGTGCAATGCAGGCATGGCTCGTTCTAGCCGGCAGGGCATAGCCCACGCTCCCAGCGCTGCTGCGCCCACATCAGCATTGGAAATGGGGGCTCAGCTTTGCCGTTGCTTGCCAGCCGGCAACCACACGGCACGGGTGCGGCAGCACTGGAAGCAGGGGCTGTGGCTTGCTGCCATTTGCCCTCTTCCGCCTGGAGTGTCTCACCTGCATCCCGCCCCTGCCCGCCCAGGCTGAGCAAGCGGCAACAGGGCACAGCCCACGCTCCCACACCCCAAGTAACATGGAGTTACCTCCTCCCCAAGTAACATGCCCCCCACCATCCTGGCTGGGCAGCTTGTCCCAGCCCCAGCCACAATCCTTCCCTCCCCCACACCCCTTCCCTTTCCCCTCCCCGAGCCCCAACAGACTTACTAGCTGGAGTCACCTGTCAGCTGCCTATTTAGTCTATGGCCAAATCTCTGAATCAGCCGAATCTTTTCCAAAGCTTTTCCGAATAGATTCAGAGCTTTTAATTGGTCTCCCGATTTCGATTTGGATTAGGAGATTCACTCCCCAAATTAGGCTGAATCTCCTCCAATTCAAATCAGCTACCAAAGCTTCACACAGCCCTAGTACTTAGCCCTAATGTTTTGGAGGAACAGGAATGGGCAGAGAAATATGTGGCAGGTCTATGCTTCAGAGAGATTTCCTTGGATTCACTCCCTTGAAAACTGGGATTAGGATCTCCAAGCTGAAAATCACCCTCAGCAGTTTGACAATAGCCTTTAGTCTGTGAACAAGGCAAAAACTTCAAGTGGCTTTGAAACTGGTTATGTAACTAGAGTGCATGTACCTCTGGATATAACACCCAGATTCCATAAATTTAGGCTTGGATTTGCTCCTCTGCCAAAGAGGCACCCTACTGTGTCCTAGCAGAGTTCCCCTTAATAAGGGAATTAAGCTGTTTAGTTTATCCTTACCCAAAACACGTATTAGTCAAGGGCATCCCCGTAAGGAGTCATAGACAGTGGGCCTGATCTACTTCCCACTGATGTCAATATGAAGCTTTCCAATTTTCCACCAACTTTAATGAGAGTGGGATCTGGTGCAGTTTACACAGCCAAAGACCTGATCCTGAGGTAATCAAGTTATATGTTGGTCAGACAACCTGATGACTTCATATAAGGCAGAAATGTATTATTAGTTTCATCAGAAAATACAAATATATTACTACATACGAACTAGAATAATTCTAAGTTCTTACCTGTTCTTTTATTTTTGTCCACATAACAATACTTTATTTCATAATCTTTGAATAAGTCATGGATTTCCTGAAAGAGACAAAACATGGCAAAAAGTAACCGATCAAACCAAAAGTGAAATTCAACTTAAATTTTTAGTTCTGTTACACGTTAGTGTTTCTGATAACAAGTAATTAAATGTTTGTTTTAAAAAGGTGCAAGTCATAACACTACATCACTGTTTTATCCCAGACTAAGACTCAAGTCCAATAAACCATTCTCCCTATTTAATTGTAAGGATACAATGTGGCACAAAAGAATAATAGGTTGACTAGCCCTTTATAAAGATAGATTGCATAGCAGCTAAAGAAAAATCATTCAAAAAAGCATTCCTGAGAGATTTCAGGAAAGCCCAGTTCCAGTGAACTCTCTGTTCTGTGAAATTCTAGCACAATATAAGGAGAATGTACAACCTCTAAGAAGCATAAATAGCATAATAAGAGCTGTATGGATAACACCATACCAATTGCCTATAATAAACCATAGTGTTAACCATAAGAGTCCCTATTGGAGTGTATTGTATCATATTATTTCGAACAATTCCTCAGTCATATGTTCCAACATAATGTCATTCCACAGTGGTGGGAGGCCTATAATGTAATGTAGTGAAAGCACCTAACTTCTTAAGTTAATTTATAACTGGACTTTCACTTTTCTGGTAACAAATATACGATGTATAACTGATCATCCACTGTAAAAGTCCTATATCAACAGCTGTGCACGGGTTCCCAACTGTACTGCATACTGCCACCTCCTCTACTCTTGAGCAGAATGGGAAAGATGCAGTTACTACCCTATCTTGGGTGGTAAAGTCATAGTAAAGGTGCATCTTTGGTTCCATACTAAAAAAGAAAACATACCTGCCAGAAGTACGTATCACAAAAAATCCACTATTCAGTGTCCCTTCAACTGTAAAAAAATGAAGAGCAGACCAGCCTACTACCCAGAGATCAGGGAAGAAGCATGGATATTATTGAATCTTTTTGTCAAGTATATCCTCTAGGATTAGAATGAAACTCCTTTCAATTGAGTGAAATAAACAACATGTTCCTTTGCCAGATGGTTCTATGTTACATGATTTTAGCAGTGCAGCGCATACTCTCTCATCTTGCCAATTTGCTAATTCAATACATATAGCTATGAGGTTAATGGGGTTGATCTGAACAGGATCAGGTGTATCCTTTTAGTTAAATGGAATACCTGTCTCTCATTTCACTGGTTAACAGCTGTCAAATGCTACATTAATAAAATATGACACTGCTCCTCATCTGTACTAAGACGTGACATGAATGTAATTTCTGAATAAAAAACTGTGCTGAATCCTTGGACCAGTCTTTGACTTGAATGTGGACCAAAAGAGGATGTTGTGCTCATGAAGGATATGATGACAACTAGTTAACTCTCATTCATGACAGCCAGCTGGAGAGAGGATGCTTTCTTTGCAATTCTGAACCCACAAATATTTCAGAATCCAAGGTACGTATCAAGTATCTCACTTACACAATGTGGCCAATTTTACCTCATTAGATCTTCAAGAAAGAAGTTAAGATTTACTGAAGTTTTACTTCGGGATTAGGTAATGGTAAAATACTAGTGCAAATGCCTATTAATATTATTTCCTGAAAAACATTTGCAAACCAAATGCTCACTGGGAAATAATCTGTCATTTTGCTGAAATTATAATTGAGAAGGAAAATGGAATTTGATAAATGCATCTGCCTGGGACAGTCACTAGTATGGACCTACCTAAATCATGGCAAGATGAAGGCAACTTTGCAAACTGCTTGCAGTGTACAGAGCCGATTTCATGGTCTTTTCACAGAGAGGCCCCCCTCACCACTGCTTGGCCAAGGGCCCCCTCTGGCCCTGCCTCTTACTACTGATTGGCTGAGAGGCCAATCACTCATCTTCAGACTGCAGCATTGCACCTGGGTTCTTAAAAGACGGTGTTAAAACCCTTCCGCATTCCTAACTGGCACCTTCAATGAGTCTACATCACTAGTTCAGCCTCTCAGTAGCTCTCTCTCAAACCACGTGCTCTATGGCTGCAGGGATTGTTGCGCTTTCTTTGTATTCCAGTAAACTCTAATTTTTGGGGGGCACTTCCACACAAAATTCCAGGAAACACCATTTTTCACAGTGATTACAGAAACCATCATTTTCAGTTTCCATGAAAATTGTGAAACTGTGATATAAGTAGATCTGTAGTCATTAGACCCTACAAAAAGCAAGTTGACATACGATTATTTTAAAAGAAATAGTACTTTTAAAAAAGTAAAATAATTTGAAAGTAGGTTGTCATTTTTATTTCTTTAATTTCCAATAATCCCGTGGAACCTTAAGGTCAACAATCTTCCCTACATGATGCACTCCATATCACTAACACTAAATTATTGTAGGGCTGCTGACAAGTTGCTAATGGCAATGATTTATTTTAGTTAAAACATTTAAGAGCTAAAGTATTTTCCTGGGGAAAAGGTACAAATTATTAAGTATATTTGACTCTACAAACAAATGCAAGAAACAAAGAAAAAAAATACAACCTTTCAGCCCTGGTACTGCTTGCTTTTTTTTTTTTTTTTTAAAGTAATGTATGTTTTTCCTCTTTAAACTAGGTGTGTCAGGGGATGGGTGTGCAGATGGGAATGTAAGCCATGGGACAGCCAAGCAGCAAGGACGTAGAGAGGGCAGTCAGGGAGGTGTTGAGAGGCTGGAACAATACTGGGGTGGCAGGGAACTGGGGGGTACCAATGGGGGACTTAACTGTCTATACATAAATGCTAGATGTATGGGGAATAAGCAGGAGGAACTGGCACTGGAGACCTGGTGGGGCGGTATGCATGACTGGGCTGTATGCATAGAGGGCTACAGGCTGCACAGAATGGACTGGGTAGGTAAGAAGGGAGGAGGTGTAACTCTCCATGGTAAAGGAGCGGTAATGCCTCCTTAGAGACCCAAACTGGTACAAGAGAAGGGCAACTCAAGACCCTGTGGGTCAAGATACAAGGCGAGGGTGGGGGGGAAAACAAAGAGAAGGGGACTTGATGGTAGGTGTCTACTACAGACCACTACACCAGGAAAAGAAGCTGGATCTGGAATGAATTTTCCAGAGAACTGATGGAACCTGCATATTTAAGGGATTTGGTTGTTATGGATGACCTCAATTACCCTGACATCTCGTGGGAGGAGCACTTGGCTAGATCTGACTGGTCACGTAGGTTCTGACCTGCATGGAACTTTATTTAGTACAGGAGGTGAACAGACCGACCACTGGGAAGGTTTTGTTGGATTTGGTTCTAGCCAAAGCGGATGACCTGGTGGGAGAGCTGAGGATTGAGGGTAATCTGGGAGACAGTGATCATGAGATGATAGAATTCACTATTCAATGTAGGGCGGGGAAGTCAGCCATGAGGGCAGAGGCTCTTGACTTCAGGAAGGATGATTTCAATGAGCTTAGGAAAAAAGTGGGAGAGACCCTATGGGAAAAGGGACTGGAGGGGAAGGGAGTTCAGGAAGGGTGATCGTTCCTCAACGGAGTGATCCTCAGAATGGAGAAAAGGTCCATTCTTGTATGCAGGAAAAGCGGAAAAGGGGCCAGGAAGCCCTCTTGGCCTACCAGAGGAGTCAAGGAGTGCTTAAAAAAGAAAAGGGAGGATTACGGACAGTGGAAACAAGGGGTAGTCACCAAAGAGAAATACACAAGCATAGCCTGCATTTGTAGAGAAATGATAAGGCAGGCAAGGGCAGCGACCAAGATCAGGTTGGCGACTGAAAACAAGGACAATAAGAAGTCCTTCTTTAGATATATAAGGAGCAGGAGGAAGACCAAGGGAAATGCGGAGCCTTTGCACAATGGGACGGAACAGATGATAACAGACAGTCAGGAGAAAGCTGAACTCTTTACTGAATAATTTGTGTTGGTGTTCCTGCATACAAATGGTGGTGGTTGCCCTTGTGGTCAGATACTGGATGGATGCCGGGGGAGAGGGGGCGATTGACAACTAATGGTCAGTGTCAAACTGGTATGGGAACACTTAGAGCAGCTGAATATCTTCAAGTCAGCAGGACCAGATAGGCTACACCCAAGAGTAGTGAGGGCACTGGCAGGAGTCATTGTGGGACCATTGGCAAAGGTATTTGAAGACTTGTGGTGGTTGAGAAAGGTCCCATAAGACTGGAAAAGGGCCAGTGTGGTGCCAGTCTTTAAGGTGAAGAGGGAAGATCCAGGAAACTATAGCCCAGTCAGTTTGACCTTGATACCAGGTAAAATTTTGGAAAAAATTATCAAGTCCATTAGTGAGAGACTGGCAGAAGGCATGATGCTGAAGGATAGCTAACATGGTTTTGTTGTGGGCAAGTCATGTCTGACCAACCTCTTCTCCTTCTATGATCAAGTAAAGAACCGGTTAGACGTGGGAGACGCGGTTGATGTCATATACTTGGATTTTAAGAAGGCCTTCAATATGGTCTCCAATGGCACTCTTATAAAAAAAAACCTGGAGGATTGAGGACTGGCAGAGTCCACAGTCAGGTGGGATGGGAACTGGCTAAGGGGTCGAACCCAGAGAGTGTTAGTGGACACTGTATCATCTTGGTGGGAGGGGGGCACTGGGATCCTGCAGATTTCAGTTCTTGGCCCCTTGCTGTTGAACATCTTTATCAATGATTTAGATGAGGACATGGAAAGCATGCTGGCCAAGTTTGCAGACGATATGAAGTTAAGGGGAAAAGCGGTCACATTAAGGGATAGGAACAAGATGCAGTTCAATAAGGATAAATGCAGAGTGCTTCATCTGGGGAGAAGCAACTAGTGACCTGAATATGGGTTAGGAGGAAATGTCCTTGCCAACACGATGGCTGGTTAAGGTTGATCACAGGATGAACATGAGCTACCAGCGCAACGCTGTAGTCAACAGAGCTAATAACATACTCGGATGCATAAGCTGATACACTGCAAGCAGGGCTAAGAAAATGCCTCTACCTGGCACTGGCGAGACCCCAGCTGGAGTACTGTGTCCAGTTTTGGGCGC